TCCCCTTGGGAGGGCGCCAGACGCAGGGCTCATGGCTGGTGAGCGCTGCTGTGGCAGCATAAGCCTCTCCTGATCAGGACTGATTGAGTGCGAGCCCGCAGCAGGCACAGTGGGGCCAGGATGAGCGGGAGCAGCAGGTAGGAGCTGCAAGCGGCATTGGACTGTGGGTTTCAGCCCAATTTCTGCAGGCCACCCAGAGGGACCCCACCCATGCACGAATCCGTGCACCGGGCCTCTAGTGTGTGTGTGTGTATGTGTGTGTGTGTGTGTGTGTGTGTGTGTGTGTGTGTGTGTATCACCTTTCCTTTATCCATTCATCTATTGATAGACACTTAGGTTGCTTCCATATTTTAGCTACTATAGAAGTGCTATAATGGGAGTGTAGATATCTTTCAAATTAGTGTTTTCTATGTCCTTGGATAAATACCCAAAAGTGGATTGCTGGATCGATCCTATGGTAGTTCTATTTTTAATATTTTGAGGAACCTCTGTATTGTTTTCCATAGTGGCTTCACCATTTTACTTTCCTACCAATAGTGTACAAGGGTCCTCTTTTCTATACTCTTTTTCTGACAGATAATTATTAGTGTATAGAAATGCAACATATTTTTGTATATTGATTTGGTATCCTCCAACTTTACTGAATTTGTTAGTTCTACCAGTTTTTTGGTGGAGTCTTTAGGGTTTTCTATATATAATATCATGTCACCTACAAATCATGACAGTTTTACTTCTTGCTTTCTAATTTAGATGTCCTTTTTTTACGTAATTACTCTTGAGCTGGTCTTCTTGAGGCAATGCTCAGCAAAGTCTGTAGGCCATATAGGCTGCTGCACTTTTGAAACACTGCTCAGAATGGTCCTCCCCTCCCAGACCGACCTCCCTCATTTCCTCACCTGACTAGCATATGAGTTTGCAAGCCTTGCTTCAAGTAGGACCAGACCAGGCAATTAATGAACTCAACATGAGGAGCAGCCCCATGTTTACCTAATTCAGAAGTGAACCAAGAGAGAAAGAATGTAAGGAAAGTTAGATCAAAGGGAGGTTGTAGAGTTACCCAGACTGTTGTGATGAGGGTATTGAGACTCGCTTTCTTGTGGACAGCTTTTATTCTTCCGTCATAGTGGATAGCTCACTCTCAGAAGCTAGCCCTCCCCTGCAAGCCAGCTTGTGTTGCCTGGTGTGCTGCGCTCAGCGGAGGACACCCCATCAGAGCCTCTGTGAATTATGCGTGGGTCCATCCTGCTTCATGTCAACTGCTGTTAATAGCGAAACCATGGGCTCAGGGATTTTTACAAGAAGGGGGTTCATTTTCTCTTCTTGCTCCCCACCCTTGCTAAAAGGACAATATTCCACAGTACACCCGTGTCAGCATTCTTATGTTAAGACTAACTTGCATCTAGCTCACTTAGATATAGGAGCTCAAGATCCCAACTCCATTATTAACAACAGCAAAAAATAGATAAATGATTTTCAGAATTGCTGTGCTGAACAGAGAGCATATCAGAAGTGCATGGCTTGTTTGAAAAATGGTTTTCCATGTTCCTTATGTTCATCCTTCAAGTTCATGGCCATCGCCCATCACCACCTGAGAGTACTTAGTGCTTAGGATAACTTAAAGGGAGAATAAATCCTGCTTGCTTTGAACACAACCCAGGGTTCACCGTATGTTCCTGTGCTGGCCACTGCTAATCAGCTCTTCCTCTGTCCTCCCCTCTTTTGTGCTTGTAAATCAAGCGGCCCCAGTATTAGTCAACACAAAAGAGATAATTACTAAGTACAAGCTGCTACCTTCATAGATCACTCTGTGCCTCTGATTCAAGCTAAGCCAACAAATTGGAGTAGGCAACACTACACAAGTATGAGTTGCTTTAGCAGAACCTTTTCACGAAGGCTTATGAGCCAGAACGGTAAATTAAGTCTAGATTCCGTACCCTCTCCAGCCATCATAAGGATAGCCATGATATGAGGCCATGGGGAAGGCTTACATGCCTGGACTCAAATGTGTCTTTGAAATCCAAGGGTGTGAAACAGCAATGGCTTCTTAATGCTCTGGCCTTGGAATACTTTTAAAACATTTAACCTCCTCACAAATGAGGCAGCAGAATAGGATGCCACGATTTTTCCACCGGGATGTGCTATGCCCTCCCACCCCCCAAGACCCCAAAAACCGTGGTTTGTCCCTTTGCCAGCCATTTGTCCAATAGGAAAATTCATTTCCTGCTCTGGCAGGGCACATGGCTAAGGGCAAGAGCATTGCTGCCCAAGAAAAGAGACTCTTCCCAGTCCAACTAAATAGTCTAGGAACTTCCTTCCCATGCATTGCTAACCAAACTCTGCTGGCTTGCATGGAAGTGTTCCACCCGCATATTTATGACTTTGGAGTTGCTCAAATGCATGCTGGCTTTTATTTTTTCCATCACACAGTGTTTCTTCCAATTTTTTAGTTTCCCATATCAGCCGCTTTGCTATTTTTACGCAGAACAATTCCAAGCCAGAGTAGCTCATCAGAACAGTAAAACCTCATCAATTCAAACAGGGAGCCTGAACGCTTTCAGTGGGGGAAAGACTAACATTAGAAGCTGGAGGCCTGTTTCTTCTTCGATAAGATAAGGGTGTAGGGTTATATAATCAAAGTCCCTTTCTACCAATAGCAAAACCACATTCATCCAATCTAAGATGCCACTGATTATAAGAAATATTATATTTCATGTAGCAACAAGAAAAGAAAATGTAAAAATCTGCCACTGGTTGAATTATCTCAAAACACCTTCAAAGATATCCCTATGATGTGTGGATTGGTCACATCAGACACTTGGGGCTTTGAAATCTGTGGAGATGAATTGGTGACTTCTCCCACCCTCTAGTTGTGTTGTTTGGCATAAAATGGACCAATCCTTTTGCATGATCTCAGTAACAAAATGTAACACCGCTTTTCATCTCCTTGGGGGGTATCTTTCTAAGCAAATAAAGCATTTGCTTGTCTCCTGGCAAGAAAATGTGGAATTTCTGTCCTCCTTCTAACAAGGAATATTTGCTTTACCAATACCAAATGTACATGCCACTGCTGTTTTTGAGACTTTCTAAATATACTGTAGCTTTTCATTTCAATCCTGAGTCATAATGTAACTTCTTCTAAGACATTTAATGACACTTAAACTCAATGTTGTAGTACCGAGAGTGGATGTGACTCAGTAGGGGTGACAAGAGGGACAGCTGTGCCGTGTCTGCCATGCTGGGGCAGTGGCGTCTGCATCATGGCTTCGGCTTGCAACAGAAACTGTATGAGCCATCAGCCCCCGAGCATCCTCAGAGATGTGAAAGTGTGAAAAAAATGAGCATCTTAGAATGGATAAATCGTGCAAGCAGCTACCATCTATTGAAAACCATCTATCTGTCTGGTCAGGTACTAAACTCTTGACAAGACTTAATGTCAGCCAGACCTCACAGCAACCCAAGGTGCATGTGCAGATTAGAAAGTTTAACGAGGTTAACAAAATTGCCCCAGATCACACAGCTTGGTAGACTTTAAAGCAAGAATTCTGACCGGGACAATAGGCTCTTCTCTTCACCCGCTATGTGGTTCTATGGGCCCTATAAATCCTGTCTGCATGTTGACTGTAGACTGCCATTTGGTTCTGTTTACTTCTAAGCATCTTACATGAAGCATCGCTCCAAGTAGGCTCTCCACTGGGTTATTTAAAATAGCTCATCGCTTCTTGTTCTTTGGGCTAAGATCAAGTGTGTAAAATGGCTCAACAGCCCTAGCCGGCTTGGCTCAGTGGATAAAGCGTCAGCCTGCGGACTGAAGGGTCCCAGGTTCGATTCCGGTCAAGGGCACATGCCTGGGTTGCGGGCTCATTCCCCAGTAGGGGGTGTGCAGGAGGCAGCCAATCAATGATTCTCTCTCATCATTGATGTTTCTATCTCTCTCTCTCCTTCTCCCTTCCTCTCTGAAATCAATAAAGAAATATATTTAAAATGGCTCAACCATATAAGGTTTTGTGTAATGAGTTGATTTTTTAAAAAAAATACTAATTAGCACGTCCATTATATGCAAATGGCCACTTCTTAAAAGGGCTCACCGATATAATTTCTGCCCTCACAACAACTGTAGGAGCTGGTGTGGCTATCTGTGGCTACTTCCTCACCACCGTGCAATGAGGTAGTTCAATCATCACCATTTTCTGACCAAAACCCCACCTGAGAGCTGAAACGACTTGCCCAGTGGCACAGAGAAGTACATTTATAGCAAAATATGGACCTAGATCAACTCAAACCCTGGTCCCCTAGACCCTGGGCCTGCTCTTTAACACGGATGGTAAATGGGTATAGACCATTACATTTTATGTCCTTTTTTTTTAAGATTATGCATGTTGTTTTACCCTCCCAGTGTTAGAAGACATGACAATGAATGAAATTTCTCAGTGCGTGGGAGCCTCACTGAGACCAGCCCAGATGTAGAGAAGGAAAGCTAGCAAGCCCGCCTCTCAAGAATAGCAATGCGGAGTGAATTCCTGTGGCCTGGTGGTGGTGGCGACTCTGTTTCCATGGACAGTTAAATATGGAATCTGGGAGGAACTTGGTATTTATGTTCAGAGCTCTGGGAGCTAAACCCAAAAGACAGGACTGAGAATGTGACTAAGCACTTTGGTGGTCAAAATAAACACCAGCAAGAAGGAATTACCATTCAGATAGCTGAAGATCACCAGCCTCAAGCCCTAGTCTCGAAGACACCTTGACAACTTTCATACATGTGCATTCCAGAGGCCAGTATAGAAATTGCTTTAAGTAAGAGAATGTGATGAGCATCTTTCAAAATGTATCTCAAATTAGCAGTTCATTTTGTTGGCAAGGGTCTGCTGAGTACGGATGTGTGAAAAGGGAGGTAGATCTAGGGGTGAGCAAATCAAGTTCGGAGAGTAGCAAGCGTGCTCCTCTCCAGTAGAGGCTGGTGGGTAAGGAGCAAAGCTGAGCCATTTCTCCTGGTTCTCCTGCAGCTGTAAAGGCGCCTCCCACTATGGCCTGACCAAGGACAGGAAGAGGCGCTCCCAGGATGGCTGTGTGGATGGCTGTGCGAGCCTCGCGGCCACGACACTCTTCCCAGAGGTTTCTGCAGCTGCCACCGTCGCCTTAATGACAGACGAGCCTGGCCTGGACAACCCTGCCTACGTGTCCGCAGCAGAGGATGGGCAGCCAGCAGACAGCCCATCAGACTTTGGCCGGAGCAACCGAACAAGGGGTGAGTCAAAGGGGTGGTTGTCCGGGAATGGGCTCCTTCCCTTGAGGTGACCCTCCGTGGAGTAGTCACTGTGGAAAGTTCTCGAAATGTTTCTTTTTTTTTTTTTAAAGAGAAGTCATTCTGGTAGTTTTGGCAGCGATGCAATGTCCAATCCTCCAAAGTGAAATAGAACCACGAGTCCCTCAGATCATTAAAAATGTGTGTAATCTGAGTTGGTGGAAGGGGTACTGATTCATCAGTCCCGCCTGTCCATTCCTTCCCATCAATGCTGCTCAAGAAAGGTGCTGGTCTGTTCAGTCCGGTCCAGAAAAAAAGAAAAGCAGATTTAAAACAAGCCGTGCAATTTCATTGTAGAAAAATTTAGAAAACGTTCCTAAGTGAATTCTATCGCCCTGCCACCCAGCAGCGATCACTGTGTGTGTTTTCCTGCACACGTCTTACCGGACGCGCATAAGGGAGGGCTTCTGTGACCGTGTGGCCACTGTTTCTTCTCTCCTTTCCTCAGCACGGCCCTTCGAGCGATCCTCTATTAGAAGCAGATCGTTTAAAAAAATAAACCGAGCTCTGAGTGTTCTGCGAAGGACAAAGAGTGGAAGTGCAGAGGCCAATCAAGCCGAGGAGGGCGGAGAAAACTCTGAAAGCACCACTTCCCCTGAAGGTAAATGAACTCCCCGCAGGCTGGGAATGGGCTGGCCTTCCAGAATCATGTCTGTGTGATGACAACCTGACCGCCACTCGCTTTCTGTGGCAACTCTCTTCCCAAGGGTATAAAATATTTCTTACCTCGCTTAGCCTGGTTCTCACATAAGTAACTGCAAGCAGAAATTGTTGTTCTCTTTTTCCATAGGCTGAGGGAAAAGCGGTGAGAACCCTTACCTTCAGGTACTAGCTTAACCCATACCAAGAATAAGCAGAGTTGGTAAGTGAAAAGCAGTGAGAGCAGTGCCTGGTAAAGGCTGTGTAGCTACTGGTGGTCCTTATCACAACTAGGTATGATGATATGGTTCTGAGTGTTTTCCATGCATTCGCTCATGTAATCCACACAACAACCCTAGAAAGTAGCTGTTTGACAGACGAGGGAACTGAGGCGTAGGGACGTTCCTTAGCTTCCCCAAAGTACCTTACTAAATGTTGAACGCCAGTAATGTGGCTCTAGAATCCACGCAAAGTTGTTATTGGGTCTTAGATCCTACGTGTTTTCTCAAATATAAATGGAGCTGAGGAAATACTGTTCGTTTCCTTCTTTTCATTTTATATTAGAATTTAGGGTAGTAATAATATTAGCTTAAAAATGAGCTTTTTCTGTGTGCTAGGTAGTGTTCTAAGTCATTTCGATATCACAACACTAGGGGATTATCATGTTCATATTACAGATGAGGAAACAGGCCCAGAGACATTAAGTTAATAGCCCAAAGTCACCCAGCTAGAAAATGGCACACTTAGGATTTTAAACCAGGTCTCCAGCTCCAGAACCCACTCTCTTAACTACTGGTTAAGTACCCTTCTCTCTGGGGGGTTGGTTGGTAGAATCCAAACCACTGCCTTTAGAGAATTTCTAAGCAGTGTTATAACACCCCTTCTTGCTCACTTATCACCTCTCACCCTGTACGCACATGCTCACACACATACATATACACGTACTCACACACACACTGCTTGCATTAACTATCCTGAACTTACTATCCCAGTCCTGTAAATACTCTTTTGCTCACTTCCATGCTGTTGTCCAGCCTGCACTTCCACTCACCTTCATCTGGCATTCTAATGCCTCCTTCCAGCCTAGGCTTTGCCTCCTCCTGGAAGCCCTCCCTGATTCCCTCAGTCCCCCTTCTTTTGTATTCTTAAAGCACCTGGATCTCTATTATCGCAATGACCACCATTCATTATAACTGTACCTATAACGGTAAGGGTTCTTCTTCTGAGCTTTTGTACTCTCAAGGCCAAACACAGGATCTAGTGCATAATGGTGTTTGCTGAACGTGTGTGCAATGAATACGTGACATGATTAGAACTTCCTTTATGCCAGTCTTCCTTTCTTAGTAAAGGCTCCTTAATGACACTCTATATAAAGTTTTCTCCTGCATGAATAAGATTTATTTGCATGTTTATTGCAGAAACATTTTTAATAAGAGGTTTCTATGTATAAGGCACTAGCCGAGGCTCTGTAATTTTTTATGAAGCATATAAAATCCAATTCCTGGCTTCAAGAGGTTCGATCAAGACTAAAAGAAAATAGAATGCCATAGAGTGAGGTGCACATGAATGACAATGGCAGCCACAGGGAGAGCAGTGTCAGTTCCGAGCAGGGCAGTGTTGTCCATGTTTAAGGAATGGTTTCAGATCTGGGTGGACATGGAGATCTTGACTGTGTTGGAAAGTAGTGGGAGATTCATTAGGTCAGATCAGAGAGGGTGCTGAATGCCATTAAGAGTCTGGACTTGTATCCACCTGAAAACGTGGGTGGAATTGTTGAGGATTGGAGCCATGTTTCAAAAAGATGAGGGTGGCAGCCGTGTTCTGTGTGCAGGGGGCCTAGAGTGGGAGAGAATAGATTTCCTGAGATGCTCTGGGAAGCTGTTGCCCTGGAATAGGGTGAGGTCTGAGGACCCAGTGGGGCTGGTAGTGATACTGGTGAACTCCCGTGGTGTGGGTTAGCCACACCTTTATATCCGTAAAGAGACTGTCTCTACTACTTATTGGCTGCATGACCCTGGCCAGGTTACTGAACTTCTCTAAGCTTCGGTGTTTCATATCTAAAAAAACAGGGATAATAATTATCTACTTCATAAGATTGTTAAGACTAAAAACAAAACAAAACAAAAAACTGTGCATGCCAATCACTTAGCTCAATGCTCAGGCTATATTAAACTCTAGCAAATAACGTTATATTCCTTAGTCCATGAGGGAAGACAGAATATTGAACAAGTTTGTTTTGTCCTAGACCAGCACGAGTTTGGCAGTTTAAAACTTACTTTAACTCTTTAAAGGCACTGGAGTCTCACTGGGGTGGCCCTAATTAGCATCATTTACAAGTGTTATTGGGTGTGTCCTCTCTGATTATCAAATCAATAGGTTTGGATGTATGGTTTTTGTAAATCTGCTGGGAAGAGAGGGGGAGGAGAGGGGAAAAATTGGCAGCTTTGACTCTTTCTAAATCTTTCTTTGCTCGAAAAATTTTTTTTTAATTTCCATTCCCTTGTCACCAAACCTGTTCCAACAAATGCTTGCGGTATATCTATTTAATGTAACTGGAGTAACTTAAACATTAATTGACCTCAGTCACCCTCATGCTGTTAGCACCAGGAGCTGGCAGATTAAGACGACTGCCCACAGCCTCACAGCAAAGCCAATCACTCACTTGAAATTAAATCCCAGTGGAGGTGAAGGACCCGCATTTACAATGTCTCTGGCTCTCTCTGGCCGCTAAATTGCTTTGTTTCTCATGTTCTACAATACTTAGAAATAACTTGAATTCTTTCTGTATTGTTCCTAGAGAGTTGAAGGCTCATTAGTGAACTGAGTTCATTAGGGAAAATGGACTAGGGTCATGGTTTTGATAACAGTCACAAAGAGTGTACTATGTGGAACCAGGCCTGCGGTCTTGATCTTCCCAGATGACTTAATTAAGGGCGAATTGGGGGCAGAGGCAGCTGTCAGCAGCTACAGGAGACAGAAGCTTCTCCGCCCTCCTCATCCAAACTCAGCCTCCAGCAACTCGGGAGGCGTGCTTCCTCCTCCCACTCGGTGTAGCCTGGCCGGCACTTAGGGCATCACCTCTGTTCACTTCTCTCCAAACCCAGGTGGAGAGCAGTGCCGGGGGTGCTGCTGGCTTACAAACCTACAGGGAAAGCCCCTGTGGGACTGTCACCGGGCTGTGAACCCCTGGCTCCAGGGACACCTGAGGCAGGTGATGGGAAGGGTGGTCATCAGGAGCCCTGGGTTCTGACCTGGCTCTGAGGGCCACCTAACTAAGTGACATGGCCTCCAACCAGTCACGTCACTTCCCCCCTCTGAGCTCAAATGTCCTCACTTGAAAAATAAAGGCCTGACTTGCTCTCTAGCTGCACACCGACTACAGCAAATCTGCGTGTGGGCACAGTGGGGCGGGGGTGGGCGCGTGACGTATTTCACGGGAAAGAAGAGTCCTCAGTTAAAAAATCAAGTTTGCAAACACCACCCATGATGATCCCCGAGTCTCCTAGCTCTGAATTAGTGATGGTGGAAGATCGGTGGCCAAACCTCTTAAAGTCACCAACTGAGGCTGCGGCTCTTTTCTTGGTCATGAATCAGGCTGTTGGACTTCCTTTATTGACAAACATGTCTGGTAGAGAGGACCGGTGAGTCCCTAAGCCTGAAAAGTGGGGACTTTCAGGAAGAAATCTTCAAAATTATCTGAGAGAGCAGAAGAGCAGATTTATTCTGTTTTGTTCCTTGATAAGTAAGTGAGGTTCTGACCTGGCTCTGAGGGCCCCTAACTAAGTGGACATGGCCTCCAACCAGTCACGTCACTTCCCCCTCTGAGCTCAAATGTCCTCACTTGAAAAATAAAGGCCTGACTTGCTCTCTAGCTGCACACCGACTACAGCAGATCTGCGTGTGGGCACAGTGGGGCGGGGGTGGGCGCGTGACGTATTTCACGGGAAAGAAGAGTCCTCAGTTAAAAAATCAAGTTTGCAAACACCACCCATGATGATCCCCGAGTCTCCTAGCTCTGAATTAGTGATGGTGGAAGATCGGTGGCCAAACCTCTTAAAGTCACCAACTGAGGCTGCGGCTCTTTTCTTGGTCATGAATCAGGCTGTTGGACTTCCTTTATTGACAAACATGTCTGGTAGAGAGGACCGGTGAGTCCCTAAGCCTGAAAAGTGGGGACTTTCAGGAAGAAATCTTCAAAATTATCTGAGAGAGCAGAAGAGCAGATTTATTCTGTTTTGTTCCTTGATAAGTAAGTGAGGAAACTGCAGTCCATTCCATAAGAGAGGGTCATTCATTCATTCATTCCTGTTCACCCAAACATTGGCTGCAGTCTCCATGTGCAGAGATCTGTACACAGAACTTCAAATGAGCCAGAAATTTGTCCTCAAGTATCTTAGAATTCAATGGGAGATATAAGAAATTGGCATGAGCCAGGCCAGTGTTGCTCAGTGGTTGAGCGTCAACCCATGAACCAAGAGGCCACTGGTTCAATTCCCTCTCAGAGCACATGCCCAGGTTGTGGGCTCGATCCCCAGTAGGGGGCATGCAGAAGGCAGCCAATCAATGTTTCTCTCTCATCATTTCTCTCTCTCTCCCTCTCCTTTCCCGTCTCTCTAAAAAAAAAAAAAATCAATAAAACATTTTTTTAAAGAAATGGGCATGAAAAATAACAGAAGGTTGAATGCTATGAGAAATGAAGAGAGTTTTATGGGAAATGGGATGTTTAGAGAGAACAGGGGATGGGGGATCAGGGCAGAGTTTAATTGGAACGGATCATTTTATGCAGGCCTTGAAGGAAGACTTGGGTTCAGGCCTAGAATAAAAAACATTCCAGGCAAAGAAACTTATGCTGGCACGCAGGAAGGAAAATGGAAAACATGTATGCATAGTTTAGTTTGGCTGAAACCAAAGTTTGGCAAGAAGAGTGGTTGGAAATGTCCATTGGGTGGGCGTCTTAAAGTAAATACTGTCTTTGTCCATTTTAGTCTTTCCAAGGTTGTATCACCTGATCCCAGACGGTGAAATTACCAGCATCAAGATTAATAGAGCGGATCCCAATGAGAGCCTCTCCATTAGGCTTGTGGGAGGCAGTGAAACCCCGCTGGTCCATATCATTATCCAACACATCTATCGTGATGGGGTGATTGCCAGAGACGGCCGGCTACTGCCAGGAGACATCATCCTAAAGGTAGAGACCATGGCTGTGAGGCCATGAAAAGGGGCTTAATAAAAATCACCTCAGAGCAACTAACTGGGTGGGTGGATGGATGGATGCATGGATGAAATACTAAAATAAATATGGAGCAATTACTTTTCATAGTTACTATGTTGATGTGTTCTTAATATGAGATTTACAGTTTAATTGAGATAGTCTTTGTTCCTCTCTGTCTTTCTCATTCTTTCACTCTTCTTTAGGCTCTCTTTATATAAATATTTCTTTCAATCTCTATCATTTTGTCTGGCTTCCCCTCCTTCTTCTTTCTTTACCCTCTAGCTTCTTCCATCCTCTCTCTTCCCTTCCTCTACCTCCCCTCTCTTCCTTCTCCTCTTCCTCGCTCTCTCCTTCTTTCTACCTCTCCCTCCTACTTTATGTAATATAATATAAAATAATATAAAACTAGAGCATATGTCTTCTGAAATTGTTTTTAAAGTAGACTAATGGAACACTTTGTATTTTATCTAATCATTTGCGTTCACACACGACTCTAAAGTAAATTTCCTGTTGCTTAATGGCCCTCCATGAAAAAAAAAATGTCACCCCTAAATTATTCCTGCCAACCCACAGACATTCCAGGGAGACAGGTGGGGGACAGAAAGCTTTGGGCATTACCGTCCTGTGAGGCTTGGTTGGGGGGAAGGACGTCAGGGAGTAATTTTCAGAAGAAGAGAAAGGATAAAGGAAGAGTTGTTTATCAGACACAAGTCAAGCATGTGCCAAAAGGGGCAAGGGATTTCTCCCTGGTCATATATTTCCTGTCTGATACGCAGATGACAGTTTCATCCCACCCCTTCTAGGTTGCTGAGGGGCCAGCTCCTGACACCTCATGAGCAGTTTCTTTGGCCAGGAGTTCTTACTCTTTGGAATAAGAGAAAATTGAAAGCACTTATCGTAGAAAAAAACTGAAATTCCGATTGGCTTTCGAGGGTGGAGTACAAGGCAGGGCCCATCAACCCCAAGGGACAGTCAGCGTGTGCAGTCTGCGATGCTCCGCGTGGCGTCCTCCCAGTTCTGGTGGAACTCTGCTGCCTGGGAGGGTTGCATAATAAAACATGTTGATTCTTACACGGCCTTCAACTGGCACTTGCAGGCAGAAGAGCTGCCAGGACTGTTTAGCGGGCAACCCTGACCTTCTCTTGGCCTGGACGTGATGGGGGAAACCAGACACAGGAAAAGGCAGCCAAGCAGAGCCAGGTCCTGAAGCTCACCTGGGCTTGCACAGAGGTGGCAAGCCTTGCCTGTGCAGGGGGAGCCTCCCTCCATCCCTGGAGATGCAGCAGAGAACTGGCGACTGTCCGCTGCAGGAAGGCCTTTTACAGTCTCACTGCGAAGCTCCTCTAGCAGTTGGCTGCAAGCCCAAGGTTTCTTACCAAACCATAGAAATTCAAGAAGATTGTTTCTCTTCTGTGGGGCCTCGCTCCTTAAGCACAGAGCGCGGCGTGAATCTCCTCTTCCAGAGCAGCGCCTACCACTAGGGGCTGCGCCTGCTTAGCAGGGTAATCAAAACCAGAAAGCGCCACCAGGCATCCGGAGGCAGATCTTTAAAGAGGCACAAATGAGAGGGCTGAGCTTGAGGATCTTTAAGTGGCATCATAAAGTGACCCAGCCTTTCAATAAAAGAGCCTAGAAACTTCTATTCACGTCAGTTTGTTTGAAACTGCAGAGATTTTTTTCTTTTGTTGAGAACATGGGCAAAAGACCTTGCAGACCTGACTCTCTCCCCTTCTCCATCTCTCTCTCTCTCTCTCTCTCACACACACACACACACACACACACACACTCACATTCACACACTTGCCAATAAACAAGCACATTCATGCACACTCTCGCACACATCCCCTCTCTCTCTCTCTCTCTCTCACACACACACACACACACAGAGTAGTGGGGACTGACACTCAGTATGGGTGACCCAGGGAGAAAAATTCATTTGGGGGCTTTGGAAAAGAAAATGTCACCTCAGTTTGAATTGAACAGCAGTTTACTATTATCATTGAGCTCAATGGAATGTTTTCTATTCTCATTTGCCTTTTCCTACTTTTTATTTCTTTTCCACCCCAACTCCAAATGAAAAAATGAGAGTCTGGATTGCATAAACAAATGTGGGGCTTGTGTCAGGGTGAGGTAGCAGAAAGATGGTCTCCACTGTGACCTGAGACGGTGGTACAGGTGACCTCACGGCAAGTCATGTGGAGTAATGTGGGAAGATGGGGATATTTGGACAGAGCAGAGCGGCTCCGAGGCCCGGCCCTGGTGATTCTGTGGGCCTAAGCCTCTTGGGAAGGGGCATGGCAGGCGGAACTGACAGCTGAGTCCCCTCCCCCAGGTCAACGGGATGGACATCAGCAATGTCCGTCACAACTACGCCCTGCGCCTGCTGCGGCAGCCCTGCCGGGTGCTGTGGCTCACTGTGCTGCGGGAGCAGAAGTTCCGGAGCAGGAACAACGGGCAGGCGCTGGACAGCTGCGGGCCCCGCGATGACAGCTTCCATGTGATTCTCAACAAAAGCAGCCCCGAGGAGCAGCTTGGGATAAAACTGGTGCGCAAGGTGGATGAGCCCGGGGTGTTCATTTCCAACGTGTTGGATGGCGGTGTGGCGGACCGACACGGTCAGCTGGAGGAGAACGACCGTGTGTTAGCCATCAATGGACATGACCTCAGATACGGCAGCCCAGAGAGCGCAGCTCATCTGATCCAGGTGGGTCACAGGTCTTTCCTACATCCGGGTCAAAAACTCCATCACCCTGGCCATCTGTCCTGTTACTACCAATGTGACATACAGTGCCTCCCATTCGAGGAGTCAAGATCGAAGGGCCAGGTAAGAACATTACTCAAGCAAATAATGTGGTTTGGGGTCGTGGACATTCCTTAGGCTTGGCCAGCCATCCGTCAGTCTAACGCAGGTAAACACGTTGGGCTGTGTGCTGTAAGCTCACCCGGTTAAGATCACTCGAGGTCAGCAGGGTTGTGTCATCCCTGTACCCAGTATGTTAGGTGCAGACCCAGGGGTCATTCAGATACATGCTGGACACATTCAAGTCATCGCGTTGTACTAACTGCCATAGAAGTGGGGCTGTGCACCCTCCAGCGATCCTGTGGACAGAGCCACTATAGGATTGGCTAAGGCTAAGCCTCGTCTCTGTGGCTATGTCCAGGCCCCCCGGAAAGCCCACAGAAACTCAAGTATGAACTTTGGAGGAAGTCCCCTACTAAAAGAGAGAGAGAAATTATTGATCATTCAGGCAAATAAGAGTTCCCAACAGTGCAACATTGGTTCAGAATAATTCACTTTCCAACCAGTGTCATGTCATCAACCCCCAGCATGCATCTTGTTGACTTGAGCTGAGTCATCATTGGTTTTTCCAAAGTTCACTGAGCTTCTAGCTTTTTCTTAGAAGAACAGGCTTTGTTCTGGGGTTTGGTATTTTGTGTGTGTGTGTGTGTGTGTATGTGTGTTTAATTCTAACCCATTCATTCACTTAACTCACTCAATATGTATTACGTTTCTGCTGCTTGACTAGTCCTGGGTGAGGTGCAGAGAACAGAGGGATGATGACACTCCGGCTGTCTTCCCAAAGGAGCCCACAGTCCAATAGGGGAGCTGGGCTTTTCCTAATGACTGCCACGTGGTGTGACAGTCCTGGAATGGAGACACTAAGCACTGTGTTGCACAGGCAAAGGCGAGATTTTTGCTTAGAGGGGCCTAGGAATTCCTCAGAGGAGGAAGATCTTGAACCCGGGCTTTGAGAAATCAGAAGTTCTCTGGGTGGGCGAGGCAGGGAGGCTTGTTTTAAGGAGAGACAACACAAAGAACATGTTGCTAAAGCCTGTAAGGAAGTGGTTAATGCCTGGAGCATGGTGTCTTACGCATATCTGCCATTCCCCAGTCCATCATATCAGCTTCCACTTAGCGACTGAAGTGACTTCAACAGTGAGTTCGCATCAGTAGTTGCCTGAATCTTATACCTAGATCCATAGAGGGTGACATAGCAGAGCCTGCCCTAAGGACATTATCTACGACGTCCTAATAAATCTTCCCACCTTTGGGTTCCAGCCATGGAGTTCCTGATTTTTTTGAAATATATTTTATTGATTTTTTACAGAGAGGAAGGGAGAGGGATAGAGAGTTAGAAACATCGATGAGAGAGAAACATCAATCAGCTGCTTCCTGCACACTCCCCACTGGGTATGTGCCCGCAACCAAGGTATATGCCCTTGACCGGAATCGAACCTGGGACCCTTGAGTCCGCAGGCCGACGCTCTATCCACTGAGCCAAACCGGTTAGGGAGGCAACACTTTTCAATATCATGCATGTGTTATCCCTGTTCTTTGAGGAGAACCAAGTGGTGGAGGAGACTGTCATGTTAAATGTGGACAACTTGAGCAGAGGGGACAAGGGGCCTTGCCCTGCTTGCTCCACCCACCAGAATAGGAAGGACACGTTGTGCCTTGGCTCCTGAACTGTGGCTCTCAGTGATGTCCTAATTCCAAGGTGATTCTCCGCCTCATGGATCTTCCCAACAGGGTGTGAGGTTATGCAGGCAGTAAATAAAAGCAGAGTCACAAGAGGCATTTCCCTTCCGGAGTTTATGCCAGCTATTCCCAAGTGCACAGGCCCAGCCTCAACTCCTCTAAAGACCACATCTCATACTCAACTGCCCGCTTGGTTTCTCCATGTGGATGTCTAAAAGCCATTTCAAATTTAATGTCCAAAACTGAACCCTTGGCTTCCTTCCACTCCACCCCTTGTCATACCTGCTCTTCCCTTAGTCTTTCCCAGTCTCTAAAAATGGCACCACCATTTACCCAGTACTTGGGCCAAAAAGAATCTTTACTCCTTTTAATATCCCCCTCCCACAATCCATTTGTCACCACCTTCCTTTGTCACCACAAACCAGGCCATCAGCTTTGGTTTGGCCACTGCAAGAACCTCTTACCTGGTCTCCTTGCTTCCACACTCAGTCCGCTGCCTCTGCTCTTCACACAGCAGTGAGAATGACCACTTTACAAAGTCAAGGCCATCATGTCCCTCTCTTGTGCTCAGCTCTCTGATGCTCCCCAAGACACTTATATTAAAAACTCCAAACCTAACACTGGCCTGTAGAGCCATACATAATCTGTCTGACCTTTACTTATGTCTCCAACTTCACTTCCTAAACAAAGGGAAGAATTTTTAGTATTCTCCCCTTTGCTTACCCAGCTCAGTCACGGGGCCTTCTTGTTACTCCTCAGACATTTCAAGAACTTCTTCACTTCCGGGCTGACGTTCTTGCTGTCCTTCTGGCTGGAAGACTCTTCCAAGTACCTGTAAAACTCACTCCCACACTTCAGGTCTCTTCTCAAACATCACTCTGACAATCCCATTTAAAATAGCACTTACTATTCACAATTCTATATCCTCTAATCTGCTTTATGTCGTTTTTCTGTCAACTAGTTATTACCTTCCAATTTAGTAGAAAATATTAGAGTATCATATCTCAAGCACTTAGAGAAATGCCTGGCAATAGTAAATAATACATATTTGTTGAATGAATGAATTGAATCAAATTATAAAAATGTAAATAAATATAAAATATAATTTACACATTCTATCTCTAGGGATTTTTTGTCAACCCATTTACCAAAGAACAAGCACCAAATCTTTGTTCCCAAGAGAGAATCTCTATTTTTTAAAATATATTTTCATTGATTTTAGAGAGAGTGGAAGGAAGGGGGAGAGGAAAAGAGAGAGAAAAGCATCCATCAGTTGCCTCCCATACGCACCCCAACTGGGGACTGAACCCACAATGTAGGCATGTGCCCTGACTGGAATCAAACCAGCAACCTTTTGGTGCACATGATGATGCTCAACTAACTGAACCATGCTGGCCTGGGCCAGAATCTTTATTTTTGTCCACTTTAATTTGTTCAGTTATTATTGGCTGAGCACTTCCTGTGTGCCAAGAGTGGGGTGGTACAATGAGGAAGAAGACTGACACAGTTCCTGACCTTGTAGAGCTTGGAATATATTCCTATCTCAGATCTCAAATACAGTCAGGCCATTATTAAGTTGAGGATTCCTATCTGTTTGTGAGAACAAATGCGACAGAAAATAGACAATGTTTATGAAGGCATTAACCAATGAAAAAGAAAGAGTCCTTGTTGTTTTTCTTCATAAAGAAACTGCACTCTAAGCATTATTTTTTTTTCTCTGTAAAAACTAGACTTTTTGTGTTACACTTGTTAGCGCCCTCTGCAGGTCAACCAGTGCAACTTGCATTCATTCTGGAGAAGGTCGGCCAACTTAGACTTCGCAATAAGCAAAACAAAAACTCCCCTACTTGTGTCATTTGGAAAAAATTGGCATCCTACATATGATTACATATGGCAGGCTACTTTTGTAGATTAGTAACAGAAGAGGAAAAACATTTTTTCCCCTGAGAACGTTAATTTATGAAATCTTGCCTAATAGTGGGACTTCCTAAAAGATTCTTCTGCTTACTAAACAAAGCCAATGTGCTTTATAAGCAGGGGAGGAGAAATGTTTTTTAAAAAACTGGGCAAAGCTAGTTGGAAAAGAAATGGAAAAAATAGAATGTTGGGGAAACCCAGTTAAGCAATCACAAGAGTGGAATTTATTTATGTGATACTTGTAACACACACCAACCTGCGGGCCTTCAACTAAATACCCTTCAAAGGTTAAAACTCAGATTTCCAACCAACCCGTGGCAGCACTGGCCTTGTACCTACCCCATGACTCATATTTGCCTGACAAAGAAGTTCCCAGGCAACACGTCCTCTGGTCATGTTTTCTCCCACAGTACCACGCTTCTGCCTCTCTCCACATTATTTCAGGGAAAAGTTATTACAGGGAAACCACAACTGTTTTAAATTTGACCAACTTTACATATGTGGAGTCCTAACCTCAGCTTACTCAGCAGCAGCCCTGGGTGCCAGGCCCCAGAGTTAGAGACAGAGAGAGTCAGGCTCCTGACGAGGGGAGATCTCAGGAGACAGAAGCTTGAACTACGGGCAGTGGACTGATTTAGAACTTAGTACAACTTTATTTTTCTCCGTGTTGACTTAAGATTTTTGAGCACCCTGGCTAGAATAACTCTGTGAAAGAGACAGCTTTGTGGAACTGTCTGGTGTCATAACCTAAAATGAGAGAACAAAGAAATATGGACCAAAGATTTGAGAGCCTAAAGGCAAAAAAACATCTGAACATTCAATACCTTGGTGATTCAGCTTTTATATCTATCCAGTGTTCCACGTGAGAATGACTTATTCTGAGAGTTATGCCTATGTTGAGGTGTTCTCATCTATCTGTAATTCTGGATCAGTGGGTTCCTATTTCCTTAGGAGTTCAAATATATGCATTTAATAAATAAAGAAAATAATCATGAATTTCAGATTTTAGTATCCTCCTTGTGCTTTTTTTCCTCAGGCAACTTACAGACTCAATGCAGAAGCTTAAAAAAATGCAAAACTAGTTGTAGAGATGGTGATAAGATGGGTTTTCATTAATACTGACATATGTGTGATCCCCCTCCTTTGCATGAATTACTATTTAAATGAAAAGTTATTTCTTCAAAGAACAACTGGCAACCAGGCTCTTCAAATTTTTAAAAAGAAGGTGTTTGGCCTTTAGACAGAGCCAGAAAGTGAATAACAAACTACACACGTTACCTACTTGGTCTAAATATGCGATTCCAGCT